AAAAACTGTGAGCACTTACCACAACATGCGACAGTAAAGCCCTCAAAGACGCACATTGGGTGTCCGAGAATAAAGTAACCAAAAAACTGGTTGCTTACACTGATGGTGCTGGCAAAAAGTGTCTCTCCAAGATCAGCAACTGCAAGATTGACCAAGATCCAGTTCAGAGGGTGACGGAGTTTCTTGAACTTTGCAGTGGCCACCAAGACAAGACCGTTGGTGAAGACTGATAAGACGACCACGACAAACATCCAGAGTGTTGCAAGGTTGTAAACCCATCGTGGAGCAATGTGGTAATTGGGCCCCTCAAAAGGATCTGGGGAAAACAAAACAAAACACTCATATCGTCAATTTTTAAAAAGTAGCTGACATTCTTGTAAGTCCTTTCTTCAGTCCCTCACATAATAAATATTTCCGTCATATTATTCAGTCATCCTGGGTAAAAAAAATAAAATGATGATACTGTACCTCTGGTATGATTGCTGTTTGTCTACAATGCAACTCTCTAATCATTCAAATAGATTTATGCCTGGCACTGCACAATAGCATTTTTATCAGCAAACGCTTTTTATTACAATCACTATAATCAACGGTCCCATTCAATTATTTAAAATAAAATGATGATACTGTACCTTTGGTATGATTGCTGTTTGTGTAGACGAAAGCAGATCCCCTGGTGGTATCTTCATTGTACCGCCTGGCAGCAAATGCTGGTTTTCCCCACTCTTCTGCCATTCTGATCTTGCAGTCAGACTTCTTGACACTTGCAGCCTCCTTGGGTGACTGCTGCTACACATCTGATTTAGGCTTTTATACTCACAGATAGGATTAGATAAAAAATCGAATTAACGTCAAGGTGTCCCACTTGCCAATACCAAACGGCATTGCAATAAACCTATTTTGTACTGTAATTAATAAAGTAGATAATTGGGTTAGGATACAGAATAAGCTCTAAGTTCTTAGGAGCTCATTTCCGTCTGAACACTTCTGGTGTGGACAATTTGCAACAACTTTGACTAAGACATAAATACATATAATATATTGTTATTGTTAATATATTAATATATATTGATATTGTTTGCTATCCAATGTTATCTATTTATTAGATGTAGAAATGAATAGCAAATAAAGAAACACTAATTAACTAACTTGGGAAGTAAGACACCTTTAATTCCTCCAATAAGAAGGTAATATCCAATATTATCTATTTATTAGATCTGTGACAATGTAGAAATGAATAGAAAATAAAGCAACACTGAACTTGGGAAGGGACACTTTAATTTCCTCCAATAAGACTCACTTCAAGGAACGTCACAGTAGAGAATGTCATATCTTAAAGAGAAGACTTTGGTCACAGTTTTGACCCTATCAGATGGAATTACTTACAATAATGAGTCTCTTTAGCCTAAGGTTAGATAAGAGCTTAAATACAATATCATAAACAATGACATAAATGAGTCTGGTGGTGAAACAGGAAAAAAGAAAAAGTAATTTTTCATTTGCAGACAGACATTAAACAAACATTAAACTGCTAGCAGTGGTCCAGACATACTGGTTTTTTAAATCGTTTATTTTTTGTGAAAGTGTGTTCAGTGTGAAAGCTGTGTCCATCCAAAGCTGTTAAGAGAATGAGAGGCCATTATTATCAGAATTTGTTCCCCACTTTTTGTGTATTGTCATAATGTCAAGCATGTTGCACTGATGATCAAAATCCCTTTCCAATTCAACATAGTTGGCGTTAGTTGAGTTTTTATGAGGGAAATCATTGCCAGTTAATGTTTAATTAAATATAAGTAAAGTTACAGTAGAAGTAGTATTAGTATAGTCTCAAGAAGTCAGATTTGAAGGTACAGGGAAAGACATCCTAATCTGAATTAGGATCAGGATTAATCCTTCCCTTCTGCAAATCTGAGGTGATATGGGTATGTGGGTTGTAAGATAATGTGTTCCTTTGCCTGTAATTATTATGTACTTACATATGAAATCTGAAGTGTTACTGAATTAAATCCAATATATCAATTGATTATTATGAATTATGCATTAACATATCGGCAGCGTTTCCAAGTGGTTAGTTAAGTTAAGTAAAGGATCTGAATTCCACTGATATGGGTGGCAGCCTGACAATGATATAATGTGGTATCTACTAAACTTAAATGACCTGGAACAAGACACAGAATCTGTATCAGCTCCATAGTACTGTTGCTGACCCTGTCATCTGACCTGCCAGTGGTGGATGTAAATTAACACAATTACTTACCCTATATGTCACTAAAATTGTGAGGTTCACAGTTATACATGTGCTATGTTGGTCGGTCCACAAAACGTTCCCCACCCTTTTGTGTCCACAGTCATCTCCTTAGGAGAAATCTAGCACAAGGTTAAGGGTATGTGTGTGTGTTCATGCCAAACTAAAATAGGGCATGGCAGTGGGAGTGGCCAACTGCAAAAGAGTAATTACTTTAACCACACAAATTGAATTACCCATCTTAAAAGTTGTCATCCCAGTTACTACCTCGAATTTGTGAAGAACAAAGAGAAACAGGCGCCAGTGGCAGCAGCTCAGATTCGGCTCCACAATGGGCTTAAACGGGTCAGTCTCCACATCTACCCCATGAACCTGTTTGTAAGTATGGAAATATGTTTCTTGCTGCCTGGCTGGCAGGAGGGCTGTAGTACTCTGTGGTTTTCTGTGATTTAGATGCATTTCAGTCAATGTATATGTGTGTGATTACATTTGTGGACAACTTGTGAAATAGGTCAAATTTGCCCTGATTGTTGTTAGAATTGTCTCAAGGAGAGCATCATCCAAGCCTGTTAAAGTAGGATGAATTTTACAGAATGTAAATGTGTATTTTATGTCTGCATCTGCCAGTGGGCCATCACGATAAGAGGAGGCATAATATTATGTTAATTCCACTACAGAAAAGACCTAATGTTTCTACAATTAGTTTGAAAAAAATTGCATATATCGGCATCAGCAATCGGCCAAATGAGAGAATACTGGCATGTTGGATGTTGGCAAAAATTCAATTTTGTGCATCCCTGGTTGAAATCATTGTCTTTTAATCGTCATGTGATGCTGCGTGATGATGTTTTATTGTTTCCTTCATACTTCTGTTTTATTGTTTATCCAAAGAGTTCTAAAATGTATATAATTCGATTTGGTTTGTTGACTTTTCTCATTTTAACTAAGCTTACGTTGGGCATTAGAGGGTACTTTCAAGGATAGCAGATGTCAAAGCGGTTTCTCACATTGATCAGATTTCTCATGTATCCTCAGACCAAATGAGATTAAAGAAACACCTCAGGTTTTTCCACGAAACAAATTGGCTCAATTACCTCTGGATATGTCCCACAACCCTTTAATCTCTCCAGAATAACAGTTCACCTCAGGAAATTGCGTAGGCTGACCAAAGCCTATAATGGTTTAATCTGGTGTGTCTGCCACAACAGTGCGGATGATTGGAAAATTATAATAAATGGGATCTAGGGAATTAAGAATGTGGATGCAGAGGAGGGACAGAGAGGAAGACAGTGTTATCAGTGCTTTTCTTAAGTCCAGTTGCCTCACAGGAAACTGCCTCACAGATTTGCTTGTACCTCCGCATGGGACAAAGACTTCCAAAGAGGAGGCAGATGGATCCTGGAACTAAAGAAATCTGTAATTTCTTTCTCTTTTGCCTTTTATTTCCATATGTTTCGTGCTTCAATGTAGAATTGCTTTATTTGTGATCTAATTCATGAAGTAGTGTCAAGTGCAGACATTTTCACCCCTCTTGACTCTTACTTCCATAGGATGCTGTTTTTAAGGATATTTTAGGAATTCTATTAGTTCTCTATTAGTTAGTTGTGTTTTGTAAAAGTAGCAGAACTTGAATTTGCTTCCAAATGCCAATGGGAATCTGCATGACCATGTATGAAAATCTGTTTTTCCACCTTTGATTATTGAACAACTGTGGTGGTCTACATGTGTATTTTCTTCCTGTCTTGCCTGCAATTCCCTTTTGACCTGCCTTGGAAAGACATCCCTGAAACTGCTTACAAGTATTCCAAAATGCTGCTGCCAGGCATTTGACCAAATTCGGAATCCAGTTCTCGATTCTGGTGATCTTGTTTAAAACCCTGCATTGTCCTACCTAAGAGTGCAGACTGTGCTTTTGAGGTAGTCACTCCTAAATTTGTCCCACAGGAGATTGTTTTTGCTCAGTTATTCGCTCTTTTGTCTTTTACTAAGAATCACTTTGTGACATCTGCTCTCGAAAGGAGTTATATAATCGTATTAAGCTTGTGTGAAGTGGAGTCCCCCTTTGCTTATAATATGGCTGTCTTTACTTCACATCAGGTAATGATCTTACTCTCAGATTTGTGTCTGATTGTGTATTGTGTACATGTTGTATTCAGACATTAAAACATTTGTAAGGTTGTTTTGCTAGAAACATGAACACCAGTGATAATGAAAATGTTTAGAAAATGTTCAAGGTCTGCACCAGTAGTTATAAAAAAATAACCAAAGGAAAACCTTCAATATGCTTATTTTGTTATGTTCATCTCAAAAAAGACCAGTGACAATAATGATTAATTTGCTTTATGTATTTTTATTTTTTTTCAATTTGCATGAAAGCTATATTTACTAAAAAAAATTGGAAACAATAAATATTTACTGTACAAATCACAATGCTGCTCAGTGTTCTTCCAAGAAGGGAGAACATGGAAGTTTATGCAGGAGCCACGGAGGAAACTTCTGTCTTTGATGTGGATACTTCAGAGCCATCATCTGCTTCTTTGCCAAAGAGCTGCATGATGCATGAACGGAACTGATGGAAAGAGAAAAAAAGTATTTAAAGATGGAAACCAAACACATTTGATTTAGACTGAGGAATCTGATCAATGTGACTGTTGGGCTCACCTGTCGGTTCATGAAGACATAGATAATTGGGTTGTAGATGGTGGCGCTCTTGGCAAAGTATGCAGGCATGGCAGCAGCCAGAGGATGGAAGGCATATCCAGGGTTAGCCGCGGCAAAGCAGGCAAAGAAGGTGTAAGGTCCCCAGCAGACACAGTATGCTATGATCATGACAACAACCATCCTGGATACTTCTTTCTCAGCTTTCTGGGTGGACTCTGATTCCTTCTGCTGCATGGCAACCTGTGGTCAACCAGTCAACACAGTGTAAGGTTCTGCCAGGCTGTGGTCTACTTTATACAGAGTATAAAATTGCAGGTAAGATAACTTACGCTGTGGATAGCCCACCAGACGGCAAGGTAGCACAGGATGATAATAGCCAGAGGAAGAAAACAGCATGTAGTCATAAGTGTAATCATGAAGGACTGGACTCCGGGGTCTTCATTTCCACTGAATACATCAGGTCCACAGGAAGTCTTCAGTCCATGAGGCCAGTACCTGATGGAAGAAAGTGTTTAGTTTACATTTCCACTCATACATTAAGTTTTTAAAATTAAGATATTATGATTATTAAGTTAAAAAAAATCAACAAGCTACCTGCTCCATCCAAAGATGGGGGGAGCACACCAAATTGCTGCCCAAACCCAGGAGAAAATAATTCCACCTGAGGCCCATTTGGCATCAAACTTGACATTTCCAAAAGGTTTGCACACAACTACCCATCTCTCCCAGGAGATGACAGTCAGGGACCAGAGACCAGCAATACCTGTGTAAGGAAGAAGGATACTCAGTAAAGGTATTTAACTCGCAGCATGATAATAGTCTTTATAAG